ATAGGACATGCATCAAGGACAAAGGTGTCCTCTATAGATTCATGATAGATTTATGGCGATATCTTTTATTAACTTTGAGTAAGACCGACCACTCTCTTACTTGACTTACTATATATATATATATATATATATATATAGAGTATATGTATAATATATGTGTATATATATGTAGATATATATATATATGTGTATGTATATATATATATATATCTACATATATATATATAATACAAATGAGATATGTAATAATACTTCACGATATTATATTTAATATAAATGCGCGTGGTGAAGTAAAATTCACTCATGCTAGAAAATTATTTCAGAGGACCTGGAGTTTTTCACGAATACGAAACGCATATGAAAATATTCAAGAAAATGTCACGTTGAACTAATAAACGATGCTAAGATAAACATGCTAAAATAAACGTTATCTAATAATTAGTAAGCAGCGATATAAATTACATGATTATAGACGATAACGAAAACGAGCACAAAGAAACTACACAATCATGCTGAAATTTCACGCGAAGTTTTTACAAAATGGTGTTCTTGCCTCGCAATTTATTCCGTGATAAATTTAATTTCAAGTTCGTCTCAATCTGTTTGCTGCTGTATTTATAAACACATATTCAAAAATATACGCCGTTATGTGTTATTTGATTTATATTCCCGTCGCCACGGGAATCATTATCTAAAGAAATCGATGTGGACGAAAGTTCGTCTCGATTCCAGCGCATAATAAACAATTTAACTTTCTTATCCTCCCTCCTCAGGCTCTGTTCACCAGTTTCACTTCGCCGCGATGCGGCGGCTGCGAAATGGGGCTGCGAAGCCTCGCAAGCGTTGGGGGAGCGACCTCCTTCATAAATTGTCCTAATCCCCGTATTTTCGCAAAGATATTCCTAGCGAAAATAAAGATTGAAGCGTAAGTCGAATTTAAGAACACAGAGCAAACAGGGGAGAATAACAGAGGTGTAAACGAATCTTCTACACTGAGAAAAAATTGTTTATTTGATTAAATTAATTTAGTTCGTCTTTATTTTTTTCAACTTACATTTATTCGACTTACATTCCGATTTTTATTTTTGCTAAGAATCCCATACATGGACCTTCAAGTAACATTTGTTGTTCAAATAACATCATGTCTTCTGAAGACATTCAGAACACATCCTAATAAATAAACCTCAGTGTTTATGTTGAAAAACAAAGAAATTTATCATTAGCTTAAATTGGGTCTTTCAATTAAAAAAATCTTTTTTATTTCCTCCAATTTGAAGAATAAATCTACATCCGATTTTTTTAAACTCGACATGTGAAACACTAAAATAATAGTTAATATTAATAGTTAAGAAACGGTTCTACTTGCAAAAAATTTTAAATATGCTTTAAACATGTATAAAATAGGGTATAAAAGAAATTTCTTTTTAATCAAAAGATTACATTTAAGCTAAAATTAATGATTTCATCATACATAAGCATTGTTCGTTTTGTCTCTCGGGAGCTGCTCGGAGTTGCTCCGAAACCAACGTATTTAAAATGTAAGATTCACTCTATGTACGACATCGGTCATCATAACAATGAATGTCAGATGTTGTATGACGGATGTAGTACGTAGGGTGAATTCTATATTTTAAATACGTTGGATTCATTTGAAACGACCCCGAGCAGCTCCCGAAAGACAAAACGAACAATACTTTTAACATAAGAAACAATTGTAAAAAATTTGAGAAAAACCTGCGTGTGAGATTCCCTGAGATTTACTTGAAAGGATGTTGCGTTTCTCGGATAAAGTGTGTAAGATGTGATCCTTCCTAAACCGAGGTCCTTATCCACTGCACCCTGACACGGTCGCTCACCAGATCGTTTGAGGATGTGTTCGAGAATTCGCTCGAAGAGAATAATGAAGACGGCTCTAGATCGCGAAGAGGCCTTACGAAATCGCGACGAAGTCGTCTTTGAAACAGCCGGCAAGGAGCGATTTCGGATCTTTCGCACGTGGAAAGTAGACTGTCACGAAGAAAGTATAGGCAGGCTAGACCTACATTTCCTAAACCCGCGCATGGCACATCAATGCGGAGCGGAGAAGGCAGAGGAAGAGGAGGAGGAGGATGGAGAAAGCGCGCGCACTCGTGAATCCCGCGGATATTCGAGAACTGAAATTTATGGCGCAGCGGTGAGGAAAATTCGATAAAAATGACGTTATCAATAATCTTCGAGGATGATACCGCGATGCACGTTCATAATCATCATCATTTTCATGATACGTTCGCGATAAGATGTTTCTGTTTGCGAAGAAATCAAAGAAACAAATAAATCAATAGATCGATAAATCATGGAAAATTTTTCTTCCCTCCACTAGGATGACGATTACCATTTCCTTACATTATACATCATTAAAAACTTGTTTATACATGCTGAAAATTAAAAAGCAAGGCTAATCGAGATATAATTAGATACGTAATGATTCAAAGAAGAGAGAAACGGAATTTTTTATGATGTGTGTGTAAAACTTTACATGCGTCATGTGCACTGCGGAAAAAAATAAAATTACCTAATCAATTTTATTGAAAATGCAATAAAAGTTAAGAAAAAATTTATATGTTTGTTTTGAACTTCAGAGGATCAAATTCTACAGAAACACCGAGATAACTTTTAATATTTCCTTCTACTCAGTTTATATCATGCGAGGCAAGAACAAATGAAATTTTGGCAACATATCGTGTAGTATGAGAAAATTGGGTAACTGATGACTTTTAATGCAAATTTTGTGTCAAGAATGTAAATAATATATTTTGCAATATTTGTTTAATATTTCTACTGTTTCATTTAAGTTTAACTTTAATCTCGGTTTAATTGACCTTTACTCTTTTTCTAATTCTAAGAATTACAAAAAATAACGATTATTAATTTACTCCGAGATTAAAGTTATTCAATATTGTGTTAGAAATTGATAGTATTCATGATAATGAACCCACGTTAATAAATATAGTTTATTTCCGTCTAGATATTCGTACAATTTCGACGCGTGTCCCGTGCAAAATAGATATAGTTTGCCAGAAAGCAGATTTCAAGTGATATTAAAGCGATAATAATAGTTTGTTAACCATGCCGACCCTCTTTGTTGGCTTTGTTTCCGAGATAACGAGTTAATTATCTCGTTATGCATTGAGCTGTCATAAATAATAATAATAACCCTCTTTTTTAATCCTAATCATTTTCCGATTCCCGCAGTTCTCTCGATTACGCGTTCGTAATCATATTCGTGTACAAGCGCACGTGCACGATCACGACAGGTCGATCTTCATTAATAATTCATCCGAAAATAGAGCACAAGTGCGTGAGTGCATGTCCGCCTCTGCCTGTCTCTCGTTAAAAACGGTTAGAGTCGCGCACGCGTTAGGCGTAGGGCGCGGGTGGATGTGACGAAAATCGATCGTCGTCGTGAAACGGAAACAGGGTAGACTAAGTGAGGCAGGCGTGGGTTACACCGTCAGCATCCTGCGTCACCCAGGAACATGTGGGGACACGTGGGTGAATCAATGAATCGATTCACAGCCGACCTAGACCGATCGCTTCGCGAAACGCGCGCTACGAATAGTACGAACAATGCGACGGAATGCGGCGGATTTCTCGATTCCTGGTGCGATCGCCCTCGAACTGTGTGAAGCCGGCCGATTACAGAGCAGCGCCGAAAAATACTGAAAAGCGATGACGAACGCGAAACGCGTCATGTGCATCACTGACTGTTGACGCCGACGAGCGACGAGTTCGTCATCGTCGGCGGTGGTGGTGGCAGCACATGACCACCCGCGGATGAGGGCGTCCAGGATCGTAACAAAGACGAGTCCACACCATCGGATTAGAAGTCTGTACTCCTTTTCGAAGAAATTCTGAATACTCCTATAAGTTCACAATATTCCTAGAATGTTATATGAATATTATTTATCCTTTTTAATATTTATATAACATTCTAAGAATATTTTATAGGGACACTTGCGATAAGTTGGAGTAAAAATAAATAGTGTTTGTTTTTCTCTGATTTATTTCATTCTAATTTACTGCACCGGTATCCACCAGTTCAGATTTTTTCTTGGAAAAAAAAAACAACTTAGAATTTAGAATCGAAGTTAGAGGAAAATGATGATGGTTTCAATTTTCAGGTTTTGTTGATACGTCTACTGTGAATTAGAATTTTTTCCAAAATGAGTAGAGAATGATACGATTGATAAATAGAGAATTTTTATTTAACATAAAAATAAAAAAAATTGATCGTTTGATTAAATTTTATTTCTCTGATGATTTTTCCTTCTCTTGAACATTGGTTCATGCTCATTTTGTTACAATAATCATTAAATTAACAATACTTTTGAAATTTCTATTATAAAATTATTATATCTGTTCTTACAAATATGAAAAACAATTATAAAAAACAGAATCTACGTTCAGTAATTAAAAACTTGTTAAGTTAAGAATATATATATATATATATCGAAAATTTGCAATGTTCAGGTTTTAAAAAAAAATTAATTATTAATTAATCATTCTCTTTTGCGCAACGATCTAATGATGTTTTTTCTAATAAACGTGTCTGATGACGTTATACTAACCGGAGATTACAAAATATTAAATTTTCCAAGAATTCTTATATATAAAAGGCATACAAGTAGATCATGACCCTATATATTTTTATGATCTTGTGCATATTATGTCTATGGTTTATTATGTAAGTGTAATTGCTGCTTCACAAATACATTTTTCTTCAGATACTTAATTCTTATCTCGTAACATTAGATTATATCACAAAAATGTAAGAGATTATTTTGAGAGAAGCTGAACATAACAAAATATTTGTCAAAAAATAGTCTCCTTTAAGGCAACAAGCTGAAGACGCCAAACGGAACTACTTACATTTTATAAACTCTGAGACAAATAAAAGAGTAAAGAGAATACATAAAATATCCTTGATTCTGTAAAACACATATTGTGCATGTATCAGCTTATTTTTATTTAACAATCAGTGAACAACATTAAAATATATTAAAATAGAAATATTTTTTCAATAAAACAAATATTTGCATTTGTTAGAGTACACTTGTAAAATATATTGAAAACTCTACTTTTATTTCCCAATAGAAAGAAATAAAATCATATTTATCTCAATTCGACAATTGTTATATAGCTAACTGTTTCGTTTTCTGATTAAGTCATATAATTCAATTTCAAATATAATGATTATTTATTGACTATCGACATCTCTATATTTTATAAATCGATAATTTTTTCAATTGCAAATGTTGTTTTATTAAAAAATATTCACATTTTAATATAGTTTGCAATTTTCCTTATGTATTTTCGTCCAAGATAATTACAGTGAATATTAAGCAGAAGTATATATATATATAATATAAAATAAAAAATTGTAAAAACTGTGCAACAAAATGAGATCGTACGATTTTAAATAAACGAGAATCGATGATTTCATAATGAAATTCTTCTAATTATATGATTGCTTGAGTAAATACGTAAAGTATAATGTACTTACACACTCCATTATAAAGTATATGCAATTCTAATCACAGCCTTTATTTCGAATGTGCGATGATAAGCTCATTCTACAATTACGTAAGCGTAGTTGTAAGTGGTTGTAGTTGTAAGAATTGATTAATGACATTTTCTTCATATTTTCCTCATATTTGACTGTGATTGATTAATTCTTACAACTACAACATTGCTTATGCAATTGTAGAATGCGCTTTAATTTTAGCAATACGTTCGACAAGCATGTATTTTCTAATCGTTTATTATATAAAGGCTCTTACAGACGAGCAACTTTGTAGCGCCACAATCGAAAACACTGACCCGTTCATACAGAGCTATGAAGAAAAGTGTTCACTTTTCTATAGCGCTACAGAATATATAGTGAGAACAAAAAGTATTCGTAGGAAATTTGTTATAAAAAAAATCTTATTTGTAGAAAATAAGCATTAATTAGCAATTTTATACAATGAATACGTTCTGTTCTAATATAAACAAACGAGCTTTGCATGTTTCCTGATTTTAGAAGCTAAATTTCTCATCTATACGAATACTTTTTGAGCATTCAAACAATACAATTTTTAATTTTCGCTTATTTTTCAGATGATATATTTTGTATAATTAATCTTGCACATCTTTTTGGTATATATAATTTTAAGAAATATACAGTCTATTTTATTCTTTATGAATAAATTGTTAATTATCCAATAAGAAATGATCAATTAAAAAAAAAAAAAATTGAATTGACGTCGAATTGACGTCAAATTGATGTTGAAATCATCGTATTTATATTGATTCGACATCAATTCGATGACTCATTTCTCGCTGGATAATATTTATTTGTAAAAATAAAGTTTTTTTAAAAAATATTTTCTCTGTACGAATATTTTTTGCACTCACTGTATGTGACTGTATGAATATAACGTATAAACAGGTTGGCGTTTCGATTGTGGCGCTACAAAGTCGCTCGTTAGAAATCCTAAATCCACATGTTTCCCTAATTGGGAAATCCTTGAAAATCGATACAATCTTATCTCATTTAAAAAACAAATCATTCATCTCACTTTTATTTCATCGCTCTTGTTTTACGCAATTCTTATTATATCGACAAAAATTTCTTATTAGTTATTATAATTATTATTAGCAAAGCTTTCAAAACACAGATATGATGCTTGTAATCTTATCTTGTGATGTTAATAATGTGTAAAAAAAAAATATTCTCAGTATATTATACACATAAAATTATATATTAAATTGCAGAGTTGGGAAGCATTATTTTTCCCATTACTTATTTAAATAATGAATGCTAATAAAGTTGTGCCAAGATTAAATAAGTCGACTTAGCACAACTTAGCATTTACTTATAAAAAATTGCAACGTCGTTATCAAATTATTTATTATAAAAAGTAATAAACAAGCAACGGAAAAATTAAACGCTTGCCCTCTGTTAAATTGTTACATACAACATTGCA